AGGAGGCATTGACATGTCCAGACGGGATAAAAATCTTGGAAAGAAATGGGTAAATTTCAATGTTGTCGTCGATATGGATGGGAAATTAGCAATGGACACAACGGAATATTCTCGCGAGAGGCGTTTATACGCAGATTACTTGACTTGTAGCCGATTATTAGCACAATTTCGATCGAGAGATATCCTATTTTTGAATACGCAAGAAACTATTTCTCATTTGCAAGCGGAGTGCACTACAAAAGAAAGTTTGTATTCTTCAAACAGAAAAGGAAAAAAGAGTAATATACAGTTCTGGGCATACTTCGCGCAAATTTGTTCAACCAAAAGAGCAAAGGCAATAAAAAAAAATAATGAGTAAAGAAAATACAAGAAGACTAAGATAAGACATACAAAGCACACAAACTTTTTGGTCATTAAAAGTGAACTTGTAAGAATCAATAAACAGTCTGTGCATCGTTTCCAGTTTCAATTATATTTCTTTTATTTGAATTCATCATCAATAAATTTCACGTGACCCGAACTCAGTGCAAGTCATCGTAGTACATCACAAATAGGTATTGTTATGATTACTAATTATCATCGTTATTGTATGTTACCAAATATTATAATAAGTGTTACCGTAAGATCAATCGTAATTAGTTAATAAATCGATCATATATTTCCGACTTCTATCTGCAATATTTAATTAAACGACATTACATTGTGTATATCCTTACTCTTTTTCATAAACGTTTCCTTTACTTAATTATAAATATGTGAAATCGATCATATATTATCTCGGATGGGGAATAGAGAGGGTGCTATCGTTCTTACTATGGTGATAAAAGATGAAAGGAAGGAGAGGGTAAAATGGTGTATGATGTGTATAATTATAAAACTGATAAAAAGATCTCGTATTGCTAATTCGCGCCGAAATAATTTTTTTATATTTCGCCCAGGCTGGAAATTCTGATGCGAGCGCAAAATTAATTTTCGCCTAGTTAAAGAGCGATCGGTCGAGCTTGCAATATCGATCGCTTAAAATCGATATATTTAAAAGAACACTATTGTATAATACATATATAGTGTCTTTGCAATACAAAAATTCGCGATCTGTTGCAATAAATTCAAATAAAGATAGCGAGTTACATTTTCCGTCGATTTTATGCTCTATCAGTTTCTGCGCGATGCAAAATACAATTAATTAATTAATTAATTAATTTGTTAACCTACCTACTATGTACACATATATCACTATGTGCGTATGCATGGATGGACCGGCGCGTGTAAGCGTCATGTATCTGTATATGATTCTGCATACGTACATATATTTAGATTTTCGAACGCTATGAAACGTTCTGCATTGCAAAGTCATTTTGCTACATAAGTGCAATAACTCGCAAGAAATCTGCGAGATCTCCCGTTCGTTGATCCTCTCCAATTAATGTAACCAAGTTATGATGATAAGAATTATTAATAATCACATACACAGACACGACGTACAAGCACGTAAATAATAAAACCAAACCGAATTGAATCGACATGGCTGTACATTTGGTATTTTCGATTTTTCTTTCCTATGTTCTCTTTTTTACTTATTATTATTATTATATCGATTACGAATTTTTTAAATTTCAATGCGCCGTGATTGCCATCCTTTGTTGTTTTCGACTAAGTGGATGTTAACAGTAGAATGGCTAAATCTATTATATTTTCAAATAAATTAAAATAGTTTTTAAGGCCGGTATTCATAGTCGATTTTTAAGATCGTTTTAAATACAGTCTTAAGATGTCATAAGCCAATCATAGAGTAGTGTGAGCACTTTAAAATATTACTTAAAATGATCTTAAACTTCTATTCAAAATTAATATTCTAAACAGAAAATTAATATTCTAAACAGACTTAGAATTCAGCCGTTCTAATGTTTGTGAATGTAATTTTCTCGCATTCAAATTATCTCTAAATATTGAGAAAGACATATTAAATATTTCTTCCACACATTTAAATATTTCTTCCTTTACATGTAGCGCTCAATAATTTTTGATAATATAGTTTATGTAAGTTTTTGAAATTACTTTATAAGTTTTTTTTAATTCGTTGCTATTTGGTTATACTGGGCATCAAGAATATCGAATCATAACAGAGCTACCATCTCCTCAAAAGCGTTTATATCTTTTACCGGAATGTAAAATATAAATTTATTTTATTCTTTAATTCAATATTCCCGGAAAGCCGCGTCGTACGATCATGTTGGGAACAAGTATATTAAATCCGAAACATTTTACAACAAGCAGTTCATTATTTGCGAGTTGAATGTCAAGAAACACCCCGCAAACGAATCAGCACGAGTTTTCACGCCGATATTGCGCTGCTATCTCGATGTTCGTTTCCCCGCTTTGCAGAGACTACCTCGCACGAGGGCTGCCCTGTGAAAACCGACTCGCAAAACTTGTTAATTTCGCGAATGCCGCCGGGCGAAAACGAGAAAAGAGGCGATGACGGCTCCGGGGAAATCTGCGAACTCGCGCATTAGAAAACTCCAGGTGCATGCAGACGCGAAGTTTCACAGGGCGATCTTGTTATTGTTTCTGAAACGTTTCTCGCGCTCTCCAACTGGAGGCTCGTACCGAAGACCGAGGCGATATTGCACGATCGTATCTCGGATTTCTACCGAGTGCATCTTGCAAAGATTGCACTCTAATTCCGGAAAGCTTCGTCCATTCTTCTCGAAACACTTACAGAAATACGATATTAATATTATACGCCTACATTTATTCCTAAGTATCTTTGTAACATGTATATCTAAAGGAAATAATTAATTTAAGAAATAGGCGTATATTTGATAGAAGTGACAGAATTTCAATGTAACCGCCAGAAGCAACTTCCTACGAAATAATTGTGTTGCAAGATAAGTTGTTTTTGCAATGAACCGAAACAGAAAATAAGGTGAGTATGACACATCTTCGTTTGAATCGCTCGATGACGTTTTGAAAATCCGAAAAAAACCAACGATTCGGATGTTAAAAATAATTTCGATGATCATTTATCCTATCTTTCGTATAATAAATATATCTAAAATGTCGATAATTGTCGCATGTTATCATTAGTATAACAATAAAAAAATCAGTCTAATTTATTTTATAATTGATCATCGTCAAATACATATAACAAAAATAAAATTTATAATAAAACAGTCTGCAAAAAAATATTAACATTTAACATAGTTTTTTTTTAAATTTAACATATTAGATAAATATAGTCAATAAGCATTAATAATTGTTTTTATTTTTTTAACCTAAAAACGACGGGACTAACTTGTTATACCGAACAAATATTTTTCTTTTTTACTAAAGAATTAAGTCAAAGATATATAACAATTTCACAACAAAACAAAAATACACCGTAATGCAATTATCGTGACAATTTATTGATGTTATAAAATAACGTGTAGATGTCATAAGTCATATAAATCGAGATAAGTTTTAATTTAAAAAATACTTGTAAATTGCTCAAATATTTTTGCATAATTTAGTCGGTTGCACATTTAGAAAATCTACTTTTATCAAATCAGCCATATATATTCTATATATAAGTTAATCGTAATTATTTATCATGTTTCATCGTTGCCGTTATAATTATCTGATTTCAGAATTTACATACTCTTGATACTTTTAGATCTTTGCATCGCTTGCGATCCATAGGAATTTATTGTATCTCTACGTGCAGTATCTTAAATTAAATTTGCTTTGTCATCACACCTTACTAGATAACGATATATTACTGCTCGTCATTGCATCGTTTCATTTCCTACCATCATTTCACACTACAAAATATACGCACAAAATCTTTGTCATTCTCGCAATTCGATTTCTCCTCTCTCGCTGTTCGTCACTTTCAACGTCTGCTCTGTTTTTCATAAAATTTACGATTTCTATATTTATCTATTGCAAATTATTCGCCAAAATATCTATTACACGAGATTAATCGCCACCAGTCGCTGTTACGATTGATTCTAAATCGATGTAAATCGCGAAATCGTCATCGAAATCGTATTTGTTCACTAATCACCGACTACAGTCGCGTCTAATCTCAAAACTATCATCTCTATACCGCTAATTGTAAGATACACATCTCTTTTCGTGATCGAACACGTGACATTAATTAAATGAGTGTATAGAAATATATAGCGCTTTGCAATTCTAACTAAACATTCTCAAAGTTTCTCCCATTGTAATGTTTGTCATATGTTCTCAAAACGAATGTCCGATTTCCAGCCTAGGATCCATTGGTATCGTTACTATCGATCGCTGTCTCGCACGACGAACGTAAGCCATTCGGCTCGAGTAATCAGATCGCCTTATGGATCCGCGCGGCGTAAATTATTGTAATTAGCAACGCATGTCTATATAACCCGCCTACGAAATCAGGATATTCTCGGTGCCCGCTGCAATTTAATCCGTTGTCATCGTTACGCTCTAATCACCACGAGCATACCGTTACGGCCTGTCTGATTAATCCACCCGACGCGTTACGTTTACATGAGAAAAAAATAGAGAGGGAAAAAAACGCAAAGAGAAGGGAAGGGAGGGGAGGTTAATGAAAGAACGAAAAGAAGTGATGCGTTGGCGCGGCGTCGATCTACCTCGTCAAACAATCGAACGTCATCGACACTCGGTGTCGAGTCGAGTTTAGAAGTCTATACGTTGGAGCCTCTCTAATAATACGCGTGAACATAAATGAGATTGTGAATGGGATGATGATGGGCATGGGGATTGTGCAGAGGGGTGCACAGGGACGTCGTTGTAATGGTGGTGGGGGATGGTGGATGATTGACAGATTGCATCGTGGATACGGGCGACACCTGATTGGGGGGACCGGCCGGCACTTGGTACACGGTACTGGGCGCGGCCATCGGGCACCTTGAGGCCCCGGCTGCGCCGTGTTGGGCCCCATGCTGTTGTTGTTGTTGTTGTTGCTGTTGTTGTTGTTGTTGTTGAATGTAGTTTGGTGGTAGACATACCTCGAGGCGGTCGGTACGTGGCATCTTCTGCGGCATCGCCACTGTCTGCGGTACCACGCCGAGCGGACTGCCGACGCCCGTTGGGTCAGCCGGGCCCATTATCGCCGGCATTATCGGACTGGGCGCGAAGTACGGGCTGTACGTATTGCTAACCTGCGGCATACCGGTCAGGTACGGATTCGTCGCCTGCGAAAACACACCCGGAAGATATCCAGGTAACATGGATTAGAACACACCTGTCCCTGCCTTCGCCCCACGCGTTTTCGATTGTACACGTCGCGACGCGCACGATTTCGAGATCATTGCTTGAAACTGCTTTATACCTAAATATTTGTATATACAGAGTATTGATATTAATAGATAGTTAAAACACATGATATTTCTTCATAAAGCGAGTTGATTTGATTAAAAATTGATTTTTTTGTGGCTGCAATCATATTTTTAAATTATTTATTTCATAAAAATTGATAATATAAAGATAGAAATACTAAATTTGAATACAAATTGCATGGAAAAAAACACTTTAATTCAGCAATTCTTAAATATTTTTAAGAAAGAAGTTACATAAATATTACAAACTATTACATCACATAATGTCAGAGAAAATTAAAATGCATCTAATCAATAAATAACTAATAATCAATAAATAAACTTTATATATTTGACAAAAATAAAATCGGAACTTTTATTTATTCTACATTTATAATGTATAATATATTATAAATATGTTGATGAAAATACATTTGTTCCATAATTTCGATAATAATTATTACAATTGAATATACAGAAAAAATTTTCTGCAAATAATTTAAGAATGAGGAACTGTTTCCAAATAAAAATTTTCTTACGAATCAACTCGTTTCAAATTGAGCAGTTTCTACAACAAGAAGTTAACGTTTTCCCATCGTTTGTGCCATCAATTATCAAATACTCTGTCTATGCAATCTACCATTTCTGAATGTCCGCGTAAATTTTGCCTCAAGGTGCATTAAAGCTTTGCGAGCAATGCTCTCCGGTGTTTATCAACTTTAAGGTGTGCAATATACATCGCTTGGTTTACGAACCATCATCGTACCCGCTTCAATTTTGAATAAATAAGCAACATCGTTAATATCTGGTGTAATAACAACGTGTAATGAAGGAAAATTATATATTAATACATTGCTGAGAAAAAATTGAAACACAGCTATCTTAAGCTGTTTAATATTTATTCGCAAAACTCTAGGAATTTGAAACAAATAACATACACAGAAATAAATAATAGCAAAATATGTAGTATGATGGCAATTAAATTCAAATGTTCGAATTATTTTATAAATATGAAATATAAAAATTATACATTTTGTCCTAATTCATTTTGAACAATTTAACTAATTAAAATTAATATTTAATTAATTAAATAATTAAACATTCTTCGAAGATACCAGAAGGTTTGCGGATGTTTTCATCTATTGCTATAATGCCAACATTTCGTGAATCTTGTCGTTCACTTTATCAGGACGAGGAGCGCGCTGATATTAAAAATATATGAATTAAATATTCTACATATTTTTCCAATATTTATTAAAAACAACGTTAAATTAAAATATTACAAAATTATCATAAAATAGTATATAATTATTATATATAATTATATATCTAAAATTATATTTTATTTGTAATTATCATTTATATCTCAACATTATCAATATTATCAATATTAAAATTCGATAAATAAAAATATTTGGAAGGGACTTTTAAAAAAGTGACTCTTAAAGAAATTCTACTGCAAGTGTGATATTGTATACCTACAAGGGTTAATTCAGAGTAATAAATCTGAAAAACGTGCTAAAGACAAAAATTTGCAAAGAAAAGACGTCTCGTTTACGGATCTCGCAAAGCCTTAATCGTCCATTTTCTCTTTTCTCGTGCCCTCCCCTTCATTTTTAACGACAAGCGTACGTTCCCACACGAAGCGTTTGGTTTTGCAGCGAGAGCTGGCTCCCAGAAGCGAAGGCAGGTAATTTCAAGCGCATTCGAACGAGCAGAATACTCGTTCCTTCTTCTCAAAAGCCTCTGATACCCTGGGAGCTTTCGTCGTTGTAAAAAAGCTTTCGGAAACGCGGCCAGGTAATTGTTGAAAAATATTAGCTGAGCTATTATATGATCAGACTCAGCTTTCTAATTTTTCAGAGTACATCAGGAAATAAAAATTTTATTGCTAATACCGAATTGAAATATTGTAAGATCGATAATATTTTCAAGACTACCCTGCCTCGCATCCTCTTTCTTCGTCTCTTTGACTATCATAAGTTTCATTCTCATTATATTTCAAAACTCTAACAATTTTTATATTTAAATATTTACTGTTACAATGTTAAACATAAAATATAAAATATTTCAAAGTGAAAGAGAAGAAACATTCGTCGTTTTCAGAGCCAAAGAACGCGTAAATTTTATTTAGCCGCAATACTTCATGCTCCTCTCTTCTACAGGAAAACTTTACGAAAACATATACAAACAAATTTTCTTTCCTCAATAAACAAACAAAACAATTCGTAAAGCATGCAAATAAATTATTGACTTACTATGCGGCGCGCTCTTAAAATAAAAGTTTAAGCTTTCGTACGAAAACGCTTACTAATTACAGGCGCATCGCTTGAATAGCTACAGTGGATGTAAACTTATGAAAGTAATTCATTTAGTATAAACATATCGCAAATTGAAAATAAATACAGATTGTGTCATGTTTTTCTTTTACAAACTCATAAATGATCTTTACATCCACCGCTAGCCAGCGTGGCATTAAATTAACTAAAAATTAGTGGAAGCCAACCAAAACCAGGAGTTACCATAAAGGCGTGGGTAGCGAGAAGTTGCTGCTGGATTTGCTGTTGAAGGTGATGGTGTGGTGCCGGAGGTGCTGGTGCCTCCTGTTCACCAATGACGTAATTGGAGAACACACCAACAATCAACCACAACCACGAGAGCCACAGCGGCAAACATAGGGGACAGACAGGCAGTCATAGTATAGGGTTTAATGTCACGTAGCAACGAATATGAATGTATGTCATGAGTAAACAAAAAGAACAAGGAGGGCAAACGTTAATAACGAGAGAATGTTTATTATTTCTTTAAAAATAAAATAACAATCTCGCGTATCGGTCATCTTAGAGATGCACGTGAAACAGGGGAGTTCAGAAAAAAAAACGCATAAATTTCCTCAATTGTTGAAAATTTATTCGAGTCAATCAAAATTATCCAAATGTCGTATCAATAACGCATGCGATGTTGCGTGAAATTTTAACGAGTCGATGAAACTTTTCCACGTCTAAACGCTATTCTCTTCGTTTGAAAATTCGATATTGCACGATATTGCATTCCCGTAATTAACGAGCCTCCCCTGTTAAATGATAAATACGAATAGTACAAGAAATATTCGCGATATGAATCTAATATGTCCACATCAAGGATTCTTAATTTGCGTTTCATGCAAATTTAAAAAATACTTGATTTTACAAATTATTTATAAAATTCTTGAATCAAAAATATATTTAAATATCTTGAATACATCATGTACTTGTAATACAAAAATAATTAAAATTCACGACTTAAGAATAATAATAAGAATAAAAATCACGAGTGTCATCATAATTTCAAAAAAAGCTGTAATAAAAAAAATAACAAGATTAAGAATTTATCGATTGTATCAAAGAGATTCGATTCTGTAAATTGACTGTCTATCAAAATATGTGGATAAGTCAGGTTTTACTCTAGGAAGTAAGGATGACACTGACCAAGAACATGCGACGTGCTAAACTTTAATTCTTAAAAACTTTGTTTCTCGGTGCAATGTCCGTAAAGGGAACGCATGTAAATATGGACGGCGAAGTGCTGCTTTTATAATGACTCGAGCCTTATTGGAAAAGTTTATAAAGCGTTTTAATTTAAGGTAATATATGAAATTGCGTTCGCAAACATAGCTTCTACAATAACAGCGTGTAGCTTCCTTGATACGATAATAACGTGAAAAGAAAGCTTATTATACACTACGCCGTCAATAATCTACGCAGCGTTGCCTATCGAATAAGATAATCTAGTAACCCTCGACTAAACACAGACAAAATCCAGATATTACGGTGTGATAAAAGAAAGTGTGTGACTGTGTTGACAGCAGAAGAAGTGGTGCAACGATCGTGTTAATTTGTTGTAAAACATACCACTGCGGGTACCTGCCCGGGTACGAGAGTCTGACCCGGCGTAAGGCCCTGCTGAATCTGCTGCATCAGCGCGTTTTTCAGCGCTAAATGATTGCGCCCGTTTATCAAGAGTTGGTCCTTCAGATGCTGTGGGGGATGGAAATACTTGCAAGGTGGCTTCTCTCGATTACACCGACCCTGAAAAAAAAAAAAAATGCAGAAAATCAGTTTACTACAACTATTATTTTTTAAATAATTATAATTTTTTATTGATAAATCGGAATCAAGTTATTTTGAACATTATATTATGTAGTACACGCTAAATTTCTTCCTAATTTGCCTCCATTAAATAATGCGAAATTATCTAGCGTTGCTTTAACAATTAATATTGAAAGCTGGATATCGACTATACATAATATGTATTAATGAAATTGGATGAGAGATTGTAAAATATAATACTCGATATTCATTGTCCTCGCGAACATAATGATTGGTGAGATATTTGATATTCGTATCAACAATACTACATGATATGATATATAATAATGCGGATACTATTTTTGCGACGCCACACATATGATTCATAATATTCTTGTAGAATATTATATATATATCAAAGTGTTATCTTCAGTAAAACAATGTGTCATACAAGCTTTCTTCTAAGTTGACTATGAAAAAAACATTTGCATAATTCACTAATATCAAAAAATTGCTTATTATACACCCTTCATATTAGGTT